ATTTATTTATTTATTTATTTATTTATTTATTTGTTTATTAAAATATACACACACAGGCAATGCTTTATCGAGTTTCTATTCATTCAAAACTGGCCATCTGCGCATGCGCATAGGTCAAAGCTGTTGTTAACCATGATTTCTCACTCACTCTGCGATTATTCACTGGTACATCAGAATACCAGCAGAAATGCATCACCACGTTGTTACGACCTGCGAAATAAAAGGAACGCGACATTTAAAGTGCCTGTGCAATGCCCACCCACACGCTTCCCATTTCAGATCTGTGCCCCACTGAAATGGGCAATTATTGATTTTTTTGCTGAAAATGATTACTCGTATCCAAGTAAATTTGAGATATTTCCCGTGCTGTAGCCACGCCCACCTATCCTGAAACGGTCGACTGTTTCCGGATTTCTGATTCTCGCCGAAAGTGCGCCACCAAATGCAAAAATATGAGAGGAAGCCATACCCCTGGGCCGTACTTTTATATCACTGTGTCATTCAACGTACAACTGTACTTTTAAACTATATACATTTTTTAATCGGCGTTTCTTTTGTCTATTTTATTTTATTTTTGAGAGAGCGAATTTTAAGAAGTTGTTTTCACAACAAACTTTTATGATGGTTAAACGTTGTTGCCTTTACTTGCAGCTTGATCGGCGTAATAATTTACGGAATAAGAATCCGGGCTTGAGCTGTCAATGTATTTCTTTAATATGATGCCATTATCATGAAAATCACGCTAAATCCACTCTGAATTTGTCTGTATATGAGTCGCTCTCAATTATTTTTGTTATCCAATTAAACGCCGCCATTCACGCACTTGTCCCCCTCATGACCCGACGCGTTCAACCGTTACAACGCGGCAGCCATTTATTTAGTAACTGTGTTTTGTCGTTTTTTTTAATTATTTCTCTATTTTATAAATCAATAGTGTCTAGTAACCTGCTAAATAACAAGACCATTCAGCCGTCAAATTTGATTTTGTCCAATGCCGGAGTCCAGCGACAGTGTACAAACGTGCTCCGGTGACGGTGACGACCACGGTGACTAGCTACACCAGACCGGACATATTTCGCATCTGACTCAACGCCAAGCAACAAACTTGATACTATGTGTTCATTGTGGTCCACTCTTCCTCGACGAACAAATGCATAAGTGGCAATTTAGTCAAAGACGAGAAAAACAGCACAAGAAATTTGCCTTATTTACACGTATCGGCAATGCAAGCTGCCCAGCGACTTCCTCTTCTGACGTCACAAGGGGAATTTCTGTATGCAAACGAGAAGCTAATGAGGAGCCTCGTTTTAAAATACACAAACAAAATTTCCGTAGACTGAGTTTAAAACACATGTTTTCACTTAAAAACAAATATTTATGCTTAGAAACATAAAAATTAATAATATTTATGTATCAATGGATAATTTTAGGCGTGAAAATAGCAGCCATTTCACAGGCACTTTAAAATACAGTTCACTAATTAGTGTAATCCACGTTCAATGCGTATTTCTATAGTCTGTAATGTAATGTTGTTACGATAGATGATGTCATTGTTATAGCAACCCGCCACTCACACACATCTGTGACGTCAGTTCAAAACAACGCATGAATTGTCTGTCCTAGCCAGTACGTATCTTTCTTCACACTACACGTCAGACAGTAGCCTCGTATATGTTTTAAACAGTAGCTATCTGAGAGGGAATGGTATTGGACAGTGACACACACTCCGACCGTGACGTAGACGGTTGTTCAGCAACTACCTGCCATTTTCATTATACAGCGTGTATTGGTTCAAACACCAATTGCCCGAAACCCCGAAATCAAGTATAGAGTGGCCATGATTTTGTTCTCCGGCATAGGCATAGACCATTTCCAACGCCTTATGAAATCACGAGTGTCTATGCAAATGAGCGTGTCACATGTCATATTTACCCTTTAAAGCAGGTCGTGTATAACAAAGTAATTATGTGTCTAGCATAATAATGCACTTTAGTCGGTCAACCACGACTGCAAAGAAAGAAATCTTGAAACTATACATTACTGTTTCGCTATTTGTTTAAAATGTAATTCTATGTTTTGTCTTCTGATTCTTTTCCGATGAGCATGACAATCGAGTTGACAGGCCTAGTTTATTTTAGAAATGCACTGAACACGTGACTCTTCCTAATTGAAAAACAAACGACTGTAAAGGACCTGAACCAATGTCGTTTAACATCAGGTCATTTAGTGAGTAATCTCGAACTCCCTAAGGATGCGCTAAGCTGTTGTAATCCGAACTGTATTAATAACAACCATACTGAGGAGTTATGTAAATTACATACTAGTATAGTGACATCATTGCAGCAGTCTAATTCACAGTCTCCCTCTATAGAAGGACTGTGCCTAAATCTAATACTAGGACGGATACATTAGTTCCTGGGTGGAATGATTAAGTTCGCGATTGTCACAATATTGCGAGAGATTCGTTCAGATTATGAGTGTCGAATGACAAACCGCGCACTGGTGTAAAACCTCAGACAACAAATATTATCAGTTGTCTGAGATTTATACCAGTGACTATCAATTTGGCTTCAAGAGCAGGCACTCAACAGATATGTGTATTTTTGTACTGAAGGAAATTGTAAAATTTTATAAGTGCCACCATTTGCTTGTTTTATGGACGCATCTAAAGCGTTCGATCGGGTGAATCACTGTACATTGTTCAGTAAGTTAAAGGGGCACCTTCCAGTTAAGATTAATTTTACAACAAATATGCTTTCTGGATTAAAATAACAATGGATAACAAAAGATAGATTAACATTGTAAACAACATAAACAATAGTGTCCCATGATTCTTTGGTGCAATCCATGGAATTGAGCGGTTCCCCTTTAATTAATAGAGGTGTTCCATTGTTTATTGTGTGTTTTTACTGGTTTAGTGTAGTAGCCAGGTTTTCTGTGTACACAGGGCTCGAATTGTTGCCGTCCATCACAGTCACTCTACTAGGACTGTGCTGCCATCGCGTCTACTGTTCCATGGTTTGAAAGAATTGGACACTAATTGAAATATTCTACTAAAACCTGAATATGTGTGTGCAATTGCTCACGAGAAACATACATGTTGCCCAGTTTAACTCGTACAAAATAGAGGTAAATAAAACATTCAGTTATTCTAAAAAAAAAAGCAGCCAGTCAGAAGTGTCTAATCAATAGCTGCCCAGATCCACAGGAAATCTGTACTTGGCAACAACAAAAACGCCGCAGACGGATCTGAACGCTGACTTCTTCGAAGAGCGCCCCCTTCCGGCATTGTTTTTCAGAAGAAAAAAAAACGCGAAGAGGAAAGCCGTTGGCTGGCAATAACTATGCGCGAATAGACTAATTTGGAGTAAGAGACCTGTTAAAAAGACTGCCCATATTGAGAAGTAATGTCCGCCATACTTTACTGATTCAAGCCAAATATCATTCGGACTTATTTGTAAGTAATTTGTATAAATAATTAAATTTCAGCAGTTTATGTGGGTTCGTCAAAAACATCGTCAATAATTATTTAACTTGGAAACAATCTAATAAACTGGGCGTGATATCAGCACTGGTCCCAGTAGGGACGTGATCTGTTCATTTTTCAAATCAAAGATAAAGTAGCTCAGTGAAGGTATGGAAATATTATTTCAAAATGGCTGTTTGCTGTGCCCCAAACGACAGCAATTCAAGGCGATCGGTCATCGTAATACAGTATATTAGAAAAGAACAATATCATCTGTTTTAAATGACGTAACTGATCATTACGTCACGTGATTTATTGGCCATCGAGACGTTCGATTCTGAAAAACAAAGCAGGAATACAATATTTATAACTTGAAATAATTTCAAAATGGCTTTGTTAAACAAATAAAATTTCTTGAAATTCACAACAAATCACAGAAAAGTCGACGAGAAGTAACTTAGTAAGGGTTGAAATTATGGAATTCATTTCTAGGTGACCATAATTAAAAAATGGCATGCGCAGATCACGATGCGCAGTTGCTGGCTAGCCTTGGGGCCTTGTAAATTGCAGACATGTTTACCGCACCGTATTCCATGTATAGACCTGATATACTAAGAACACACCATCATGATATAAAATATTTGAAGGTTTAAAATCCTAACATCTTATAAAATGTAATCTTTACTATCAAGTATAATACATAATGAGGATATATTGTACATTATAATGAAAGCGTCGACTAGATATTGTTTTCAGGTATGACCTCAGTTATGTCAATGCCATCATCCGGGTCTTTGCGCGTGTACCCCAGAAGAGAAACGGTGCTGGTCTCCCGTTTTATAGCAGACGTTGTCTCATTTTCCATAGTCGATACCGGCTCTTTGTCTCCCTGGTCAGGTTTTTCATCCAAAGATGGCTCTGGTGGCGGTTTGTAGGCTAACAAAGCACATAGACAGGCGATTGTGGAAATTGCACTACCTGCTACGCCGATAACAACAAATTTCAAACCAAACGTGTGGTTATCGTAGATCCAGCATGTTCCGGTATCGCCACAAACTTCTTGCCACACCAGACAGGAACTGTCAATCACTGCACCAATCACAATTGGTCCTGGAATTGATCCTGTGATATCGAATATATACAACATTATAGTTTACTATACAGCCAAAAAAAGCCTGAACGAAATATATTGTTCTTTGCATGTTCCAAACAAGTATGATTGAGACGCGTGTATCAAGTTTTCAACACTGTCGCTATGTTAACAGCACGTTTTTATTATATAGGGGAATTACCATGCAAGGCGCCAACCACAGTTAAAGGAAAAGTCAAGACAAATGACACAATGCTCCCAGATGAAAGAGCTCCACAAATGTAGGAGAATGCAATTTACATTTTTTTTTATATCATCTTCATTCTCTAGATAATCTAATTTTCATCTGAATTATGTAGTCTGCCATCTTAATTTCCCAGCAAAGGATTATGGGTGACATTTTCCCAATGTCTAACAACAGTCATACTTTACCCATAATCCTTCGCTGAATAATCAAAATGGTGGACTACATAAACTGATGAAAAGTTGAAATTCTAAGGAAAGAAAAGTGATATAAAAAAACTGTAAATTGCATGTTCTTACATTCACCGTGCTCTTTCATATGAGAATATAATGTTGTCAGCCTTGTCTGTTTCTTTAATACAGTGACAATAAAAAACGCCACGCCATTGACACATGCAACGGCCGAAGTTCAGACAATGAGTGCATACAACAAATTGTAACGGTATTCTGCCCGATGTTGTGTATAATGCCAATATAAATAAGGTCAAGTTTCTGGTCAATTTGTTTTCTGTAAAATATTGATCGCAAAACTATTTTGTGGCTACAAACCTTAATTTTATTATGTACCTACCAAAACAACGATATATAATCGAAGTAACTCCAAGGGCATGGGATCTTTGCTGGTCTGGTACACACCTACAAATTAAGTCGCAAATTAATTTAGCTAAAATGAAATTGTTAATTAACATAATAAGTATTACAGTCTGTTTTTAGACGTTCTTGAGTTAAAAGGATCGAACATAAGCATATCAATTGTAAAAAATTTGTAAAAAAAAAATATGACAATTCACGCCGAATTCAAATGTTGCACTACTGTGCTTATTACTACGCATATATGCAAGGTATTATAGGAGAGAACTTCTTTATTGTATAATATAATAATGAAAAACTGTCATTGCACTTAAATTAAATTAAATGTCAATTTCTTGAAAGGTTTTAGCAATATGCATATGCTGTATAGTTTCGAAGTCTTTAGTGGTAGAATTATATTATAAGGAGCGGCAGAACTTGTTAAATCTGTTGACCAGTTTAGTATGGTAGAACACGTGTACAGTCTTCAAATAACCACGATAGACAGGGTGAGAATCAAGGCTCAAAATATGTACTTGCGGGGATTCATAATAAATGATTCATTTATAATTGCACCCTAAAATAATAGTCATGATATATGTCGATGTCACACTCTCGTTAAAGTTATTAGCATATGTACACAGTGCGCATGCTTCAGGTAGTTCTGTATTCCACAACGCATGCGTGACAGTGTCGTGGTATACTAGTAGTTAGTTAGTACCTCTAGATAGAGGGACTGTGTTAGTAGGAAGTGTTCATCGATCTGGGAAGGGTAATGCCACATATACCCGCTGTAAACTGTGGGTCACTTTCCCAGTGTTGTCAACATTGACACATTTTGGTCAAGTATATGGATCTACATCTACAGACACTTTCACTTAGTGAGAGAATTTTTCGATGTTCAATTGATGCCCTCACAACCAAAGTCTGGCATCACCACCCACTCAGTGTTTTTACTCCATCTATGTCTCTCTCCTCAACACCAAGGCACAACCCATCCATCTTATAATTTGGATTCATATAAATAATAATATAAATAATAATTGTTATATAAATTGCTCAACCCATGTGACCATAGTAACTTCAACTTAGAGATATAATTTCACCCAGGCACTAACCTGAACAAACATGCACAATTCGACAACCTTACGTCAACATTTGGAACACTTATTTAGGAAACAACAGACATTAATAATGAAAGTATCAAGATAACAATGAGTACTGACCTCATCGTCAAAATTGAACTTGGAGCCATCATGGTGAACCCAAGCAGCATAATTAAAAAGAATCCTACAGCAAACACCGGAAGTTGCCAGCATTCGACTTCGCACGGCCCAGATACAGCTTCCGGTGAGTCAGCGCTCCCGCTCTCCGAGGAGATGCAACTGCAGTTGTAATAAGTCTAAAAGAAAGGTTTACATTGAAAACAATTGAATATAATTGGCAAACTATTCAGTGGGTAACTGAGATAGGCTACAACATATCACGTGACACCCAACCCAAAATAAATGTTTATTTTAAACTGAGTTTACACATGGCTATTCTATAAATTACTACTATCGCATTTATTAAAACTCTTATATTATCGCAGGTCAATATATAAATTGGTTTTCACGTCATGTTATGTAATGTCACATGATTTTGACATCACCTACCTCTCCAGCATCCGGGGTATCCAGGCAACCAGCATAGCATGCATCAAAATATAGCAAATTATTGGTTCCACAGACTGGATCGTAAGTCTCTGTGCCAGCACAACCACACACAGAGTTACATAGGTGGTTAAGGTTAACTTCGTCAAGATCACTCGTGCTGAAATAATTTTAATTAATTGTTTAATCGTAAATAAGTATTTCTAACATGTTTATGCACGATACTGACTCGCCGCAAAGATTTCAGTTCGAAATGAGTTCCATGTGACATAAGTAACGCGTTTAAAATCCAATGGCCGAAGTGGAATATGCATATCAGACGACACGGTCAGGATCAGGTGAGAAGGAACGCTTTAGATCTAATCACGCATCACTCGAGGACCAACCTATAACCCACCCGACCCCCCCACTGTTATCGGGTAAGAAATGGCCCGGTCATATAAGAAAACCTTACTAATGTTCATCAATCAAGTTGGGCCTGCATTCATTCGAACGCGCATGTACGATCGTTTTTACATATGTTATCATAATCTTACAGTAATTTGAATATGTTCCCTGTGTGGTTAAACAAAAGGCGCATGGGAACACTTATATGTATGAACCGATCCGTCGGCGAGGGCGCTAAAGATTTGCTACATGAAACCTCAAGCATTGGCAGTTGCGCCCTCTACGATGGCATTTTCTATACCCGTCAAAATTACCTATTTACGCACATGGATGAAAGTAATTTCGATCAAAGAACTAATTTTGTATAGACAATTGTCAAAATCAGATCAAAACAAAATCTGACGCAGTCAACGGGCCTTATGTTACCTATTCACGCCACAGAATGGCTCGACGTCATGGCTCGACACAGAATGGCTCGACTTTGAAGGGAGAGACTTATTTGGAGTTAGCATGGTGTTTCTTCTTGGCTGCAAATACGTATTTTTTAATGTTCTCGTACCACTACAATATAATTGTTTATGAACAGAAAACTTACTCTGATGAGTTGTACGACGTAATGACTCCTGCTATTTGTTGTTGCGGACACTGGAGAATAAATATTGGAAACAGACACATTGTAATGAAGGAAGCAAATAAACAGATTCTTGCAGTGCCTTTTATTTTCAAGTTGAATTTCTTCACCATCCATCCACCTAGTAAAGTACCTCCTGCAGCTCCAGGCATGGACGTCGCCGCTGAAAATGAAAGATATTATATGAAAGCGCCACAGCTCTAAGCAAGGTGAATGCTTGCACGGCGGTTTGTTAAGATACCCGCTTATATCAGCCAATCAGCGTGGTGCGTGACGAACGAGCGAGGGGCTTCAATAATAGTTTTTTTTATTTACTTAACGTGTAGAAAAAAAACTATAATTATATATGTGGTTATTTTTTCAAGAATCAAACTCACCTAAAACCAGACCAGCTTCAGACGATGTTAGACCGAATTGATTTTCGAGGAACTTGATAATAAAAGGAAGAAATCCAACAACAATAAACACCATGGCCGTCTTACTAAGAGCCATGAAATCATAGACAGGGTTTTTGAAAAGCATTTTAGTTGCTGGCCACATGTCTTTCCATCCTTCACCAAAGGACGCTTTAGTCTTTAGTAATTCAGCGTCGTCATTGTGGTGTGCTTGTGACTGGCGCTCATGCTGAATATCTTTAGTTCCTGCGCATGCGTAGAGAACAGATCAAGGTGAACATTCGAGAGGTTATTGCGCATTCAATGGAATTCAATGGAACCCGATAATCAACTGCAGTTAGTATATGGTTGTATGTAGAGGTATTTACAATTAGATGACGTTTATAGAAATACCTGGTAACTCTGGAGGAAATGCACCTATTGGACCAGCTACCATCCATGCTAAGATCCATGTCAATAAGAAACCGATCCACCACGCACCAACCCAGCTAGGATCCGAGTTATCTATCGTCAAACTATAATAAATGGCATTAAACTGAATAACTGTACATATGTTCAACAGAAAACGGAGTGGAGAGATAACTCCCTCTTAACGCCTAGTTATCATGCTAGTATTACAATTACCCATGCAGATTTATGCAAACGTCACGTGCTATGGGTGGTCCATGGGAAGACTATCATCTACAACGACCCCCTTAATCATCTCTGTAATTCAAAGAACAAACTCACACATTCGTAATTAGAATAATGATTGATTTCCAATTCCAATTAATCCAATTTCGGTGTGTCTGATTTCTTCCGCACTTCCAATATTTTCAAAATTCGTGACCGGTGGACAGTCTATACGCATCACGTAACATTATTACTGATATTATTCGAGTTACTCAATGTAAATGTTATCACGTAGCTGACCGATTTTATTAATTGATATCATTTTGTACAATTTACCACAGAGTATCTGCGCTTAATGTAAATAGTATTATCACGTGTTTCAATGTATCATACAAGGATTTTTTTTTCTTGCTCGCATAATCAGAATAGTAAGTTGATAGTCGTTATTAAATACTTAACGAAAAACTGTGAAATTAAAAACCGGTCTGACGGGGGGGGGGCACGTGCCGGCGCGTGTACCTGTTGGCGTGTCAAGTAGAAATATAATTCTGCGGGTTGTTTGTGTGCGTTTTGCTTACGTCAGCAAATTGTAGTCTAGTTCGAAGTTGAATCATGATGCATGTGATCACTGTAACTACTAGCTTCGAACGAGGCTTCATTTTATGATAAGTACTATTGCGACACACGGATCACGTGATACTGAAACCAGCACGTCGTCTATTAAAATACACGTATATTGCGTATCACCCTACTCACTCGTCTTGGTGTAGTGGGTCTACATAAATAGTGAGGAAGTATGCACCAAGAAGAAATCCAACAGTAGGACCAAACACAGAACACGCATTCATTATACCTGTAATGTAGAAGTAAGATTTAGCAACCATAAGTATTATCTATATTTTACAAAAATGAAAAATAGAGATACTTTCACATTCACGAATTACCTTTCGTCTAGCGAAAAATTAAATCTGTGACGCAAAGTTAACGTAATTTTTTAATTATTAGTTTTTATACAAAATCTTTTTATCCTGCTAGTGAACGGAATACGACTACACACACATTTATATTGCTAGAGCGCACAACCCAGTCGCTAGAGGGCGCAACATATTCGAAAGTGTTGACTGCGATATATCTGCTCGTGTCATTTAGTACTGATTCAATACGTTGCAAGTAAGGTGTACGGGCATTACCTAAGTACCAGGCTGCTTGTCTGTGGGTCGCATTTTCATCAGCAAATGCATATCCAACGGTATAAATAGGCGATGCACCAATTCCATGGAGAACTTGGGCGAATATAAAAACAAAGGCATAATTTGACAGATCTCCCCACTCATCATCCTCACAGTCACTTAAGTGCGAAATGTTCCTACCAGGCACACAGAGAGTGTCCTCGTCCCCGTACGCAGAGTCGTAATCGTATAGACCAGTAGTGAAGTGCGGAATAGCCCACGTTAAGGATCCACACCCCATGATTACAGCACCAATGCCAAGTAGTCTGGGTTTATTCCTCGTGGCACCAAAGTACGAGACGAATACAATGAGCAGCATGACTGTCAAATCATAAGCGCTCACGATGACGCCCGTCGCCGTGCTACTAAGACCAAACCGGATCTCAATGCTTGATATACTCATGTACACAAACCCATTGACGGCGAGTCCCTGTACAAACATGAGCGATGACAGCATCCCCGCGAGCCAGTTAGGGGTGCTGAAGCGTTGCATCCATGACGGTCGCAGGCTAAGCCATCCACAAAGTAGAGATTCTGTCTCAATCTGGAAGCTACTTATTTCCGAAGAAACAGAACCACGTGTGCCTTTGTCAATACTCCCCTTGTCCGCATTGTCGTCTCTGTTCTCACCGGAATCCTTTCTCGTCATCTCGGTCTCAGACATTGTTAGTGAGGGACTGAAAAGGGGGATACAAAATATATATATTATTAGTGAGACTGTCACAAAACCTAATTTAAAAATATGCAAACCAGACAATTTATACTGACTTTGTGTTTGCTTCACGCTATTTTATTTACTGTATGTTTGTCCACGGTTACTCAAGACCGTGCCGTGTCTTTATAAATCGTTTTACTACAGCTGTGCATCCGTTAGTACTGTCATGAATTTGTTATCGCGAATCTGTTAACCGACT